GGGGGGGGGGGAGTATGGTCTCAATCCAACACTAAATTTTTTTTTTCGTGATTTTATTGTGGATAATGGCGGTTTTTTGTTTGTTAGGGTGGGTAGTCTCCTTGGGTGGACTGTAAACCACCGTTCCATGACAAGAACACATGTGTACCACGTGACTGTGACGGAAGCTTTCACACAAATCGTGAACGTCTAATGGTCATTGTGACATTTTTAGATAACAGGGTCAAATATATCTCACCACACAAGGATTTCTTCAAGGACCCCATTCCCCAAAGGGGAGACCAATATGACATAGTTTTGTTCATATGACCTTTGCCTCACATATTTTTTTTCATATGACCTTTGCCTCAATTCTTCAGGAAAAGTCGGAAAACGATCAAGTAGATAAAGAGCCATGATTGGATACCTATATAAGCGCTGGAAGATTACCCGGTCTGGTCAATATGCTTGTAAAGAATGCCTCTCTGACAGCCTTTCCTGAACTAAGAATGCCTCTCTGACAGCCTTTCCTGAACTAAGAATGCCTCTCTGACAGCCCCTTGCTGAACCAAGAATGCCTCTCTGACAGCCTTTTCCTGAAATAAGAATGCTTCTCTGACAGCCCTTCCTGAACTAAGAATGCCTCTCTGACAGCCCCTTGCTGAACTAAGAATGCCTCCCTGACAGCCTTTCCTGAACTAAGAATGCCTCTCTGACAGCCCCTTCCTGAACCAAGAATGCCTCTCTGACAGCCCCTTCCTGAAATAAGAATGCTTCTCTGACACCCCTTCCTGAACTAAGAATGCCTCTCTGACAACCCCTTCCACCCTTGCTGAACCAAGAATGCCTCTCTGACAGCCCCTTCCTGAAATAAGAATGCTTCTCTGACAGCCCTTCCTGAACTAAGAATGCCTCTCTGACAGCCCCTTCCTGAAATAAGAATGCTTCTCTGACAGCCCTTCCTGAACTAAGAATGCCTCCCTGACAGCCTTTCCCGAACTAAGAATGCCTCTCTGACAGCCCCTTCCTGAAATAAGAATGCTTCTCTGACAGCCCTTCCTGAACTAAGAATGCCTCTCTGACAGCCCCTTGCTGAACTAAGAATGCCTCCCTGGCAGCCTTTCCTGAACTAAGAATGCCTCTCTAACAGCCCTTCCTGAACTAAGAATGCCTCTCTAACAGCCCTTCCTGAACTAAGAATGCCTCTCTAACAGCCCTTCCTGAACTAAGAATGCCTCCCTGACAGCCTTTCCTGAACTAAGAATGCCTCTCTGACAGTCCCTTGCTGAACTAAGAATGCCTCCCTGGCAGCCCTTCCTGAAATAAGAATTCCTCTCTGACAGCCCCTTCCTGAACTAAGAATGCCTCTCTGACACTCCTTTGCTAAACTAAGACTTTCTCTGTAGTTGATATCATCATCGCCACAAAGGCCTTACCCAGGATTATACCATGGTATCAAACACCCTCCGGTCCGTGATGTTGGCCGGGTCTCTGCCTCTCTCACTAGAAAGAACACAATGGTCTTCAGTCTTCAGGAAATGTCACTTGTTTCTTAACACGCAGTGTCAAGTTTGTTGCGGCTGAGGACGCACGCTTTTGAGGCCCCTTGGTCTCTGCAAAGGTCACGTGTGGTCGTTGGTAAAATATTTCATGTTAAGACAACAACAGCAACAACATACACCTGTGACGTCGAGCTAAGTGGCTTAAAAAAAAAAAAAAAGAATATGTCTGCTCAGGAGTTGTCGTTAATTTCTATGAATAAACGACCGAGTTCAGTTATATGTTTAAAATTTACTAATGACGAAGTAGCCGTGTTTGAAAATTGTGTGCTAAATTCAAAATCTGAAATGAATTTAGCAGATAAATTACCCCTATTAGAACCGATCGTAGAAATAGCTTAGATTTTAGATACAAAGGTGGTCTACTTGGATAAAATATGACCTTCTATGTAAGCCATGTTGGAAAAAAAAAAGGGGGGGGGGAGATTTTTTTATGAATGGGGGAAATATAACAATAAATTTTGTTTTTTTGAAGTAGGCAGCCGGTTAGCAAACAATGACACAAAATAAGTGTTTGAATAGCGTCCCCCCCGTAACTTTACCTCAAGTGATACTATTTACACACCCAGAAACTCTTTCCAGCACACGGGCTTATCTGCTGGCTCTGGGGGCTGTTATTGTATGATAGCATCGTAAACCAGTTAGGGAGTCGTCCTGTAACTAACTACAGCCGTGCTGTGTGGGTAAATTGTCTTACTGTGTCACAGCTTTGGGCCGAGGTGTGTTTTTATCGTGGTTTGGGGGGGTGGGGGGAGAAAGTAAGCGATAAATAAAGGACTTAAGGAACGTCGGCCATTTTATAATTTTTTTTATATCATCACGTGACATTGGAACATTTTAGTTTGTGTTTTTTTTGTTGTTTTTTTTAAAGTTGTCTCCCATGGGGTCAGCCCTTGTTCAACTTGATGCACAGTTCACTCGTCCAATGTGCGTCACATTACTCTTTAAACGCACTATTTGGTTTTACACGAAAATTTAAGCGTGTGAACTGGGCATTATTAGTGATGTGAACCTCTTCATGAACTTTCGTGACGTCGACTGAATACTGCGTCACGATTAAATGATTATTATCTTATATTTCATATAAGTATTAATGTAGATAATGTGACGTCATCCCATTAACATGATAATATATACAGCTTCATTGTGATCCATCAGTGTCATAAAGTCACAAAAATTTATTCATCACATCATTAACCATAACCTCACCATTCATTAAAGGTAACCTCACCATTCATTAAAGATAACCTCACCATTCATTCAAGACAACCTCACCATTCATTAAAGATAACTTCACCATTCATTAAAGATAACCTCACCATTCATTAAAGATAACCTCACCATTCACGAAAGATAACCTCACCATTCATTCAAGACAACCTCACCATTCATTAAAGATAACCTCACCATTCATTAAGGATAACCTCAGCATTCATTCAAGACAACCTCACCATTCATTCAAGACAACCTCACCATTCATTAAAGATAACCTCACCATTCATTAAGGATAACATCAGCATTCATTCAAGACAACCTCACAATTCATTAAAGATAACCTCACCATTCATTCAGGACAACCTCACCATTCATTAAGGATAACCTCACCATTCATTAAAGATAACCTCACCATTCATTAAGGATAACCTCACCATTCATTAAGGATAACCTCACCATTCATTAAAGATAATCTCACCATTCATTAAGGATAACCTCACCATTCATTAAAGATAACCTCACAATTCATTAAGGATATCCTCACCATTCATTAAGGATAACCTCACCATTCTTTAAGGATAACCTCACCATTCATTAAGGATAGCCTCACCATTCATTAAGGATATCATCTTCATATCTTCCACAACAACGAACACCATCATGTGATTTAATTCATTTCTAAACACATCTACACCAGTGACCACACCAACAGCCACACCAACAACCCCAGCAGTGACCACATCAACTACCAAAACCAACTACCACACCAACTACAAAAACACATCAACTATCACACCCAAGACCGCATTTCGTAGAACATACATGGCAAAGCGAAAGGCTCACACACCTGTATCAGACAACACCGACGAGCAAGTGCGACGAGTCAATCAAAGAGGAGATGAAGACCAAAACGATAAAGGGAGCATCCGTCGACAGTCGGAGAAGTGGTACTGTCATGGAGTTGCTCTCTTTACCGCAAGGTCAAGGTCAGCCCAAATCTGAAGATGGGGACTCCAATTTTAAGAACGCATTTTCACCACCCAGCAATCTTCAACAACCAAAGTCATATTCATCAAGTAATCCTATCGAAACAACCAATCATATTCATCAACCAATCATATTCATTAACCAATCATATTCCTCAACCAATCATATTCATTAACCAATCATATTCATCAACCAATCATATTCAGCAACCAATCATATTCAGCAACCAATAATATTCATCAACCAATCATATTCAGCAACCAAAAATATTCATCAACGAATCATATTCATCAACCAATCATATTCATCAACCAATCATATTCAGCGACCATTCAAATTGAAACAATCAAATCGCCTGGGACATGAATATTGTTACAGCTAACAGCAATGCTCGATTCCTTAACTGTGAAATTATATCTTTTCTATCTTACATGTTCATGTCAGCCTATTGATTGGAGCTTACATGTGCATGTCAGCCTATTGCTTGGAGCTTACATGTAGCCATGTTTCACATCTCTAGGTTGCCCTTAAACACGTCTCAAAGCTCTAGGTGGGCCTTAACCATTTCAATCAACCCAAATTTTTCACTGAGGTTCCCTCTACTGCCCAGACGCCATTCTGTCTAGGCCCCATACTGCCTAAGCCAATTACTACCTAGTCCCCATACTGCCCAGGCCTTATACTGCCCAGGCTCCATACTGCCCAGACCCCATACTGACTAGGCCCCATACTACCCATGCCCCATACTGCCCAGGCCCCATACTGACTAGGCTCCATACTTTCCAGGCCCCATACTGCTCAGGTCCCATTCTGCCCAGGCCCCATACTGCTCAGGCCCCATTCTGCCCAGGCCCCATTCTGCCCTTCAAACTTCTTTACAAAGGATAATTAACTGATCCACAGCGTCTACTCATCAAAGATATTCAATTGTTAATTAATTTTATACACGACTGCACATTAAATAATAGCACAATTTTCCCCTCTTCTTACAATCACATCAGATATGCCCTTGAAAAGATGTACTTGGGGTTGGGGGGGGGGGCTGGGTACCTGGCATGCAGCGACACATGTAGGCCTACCGCAGACACGTGATCATGGTCAAAAACTTTGAGATGAATTGGCACCAACAACAGCCGATTAAATTATATATTTTATTTTCTCATTCCCAATATAACTTTAAGCTCTTCACTTCTGCTACATCTGAGAGTCGTCGTCTGCGACCAAGGTTTCCATGTTGTCAATGTACGTCATCAGCATGGAGCACGCGTGCTTCACCTCCCGCAATGACAAAAGGGAATCCACGGAGGACCTGGAACAAACAGTGTTGAAATTAATGGAAAACTGTACAATTTCATAAACATTTTTAAAATGATGTGTTTAATCATCTTGAAATGTTATCACTTTCGCCAGTTTCTTCATTGTCATGTGATACAAATTCACTTCCCACGTGAGTTTGACGATATTTCATTTCAGAAATGAAATGATCACATTTTTTGATAAACTACTATTAATAGTAACACACTGCGAATGTAGGTCAATTGATACTAAGACACTGCAAATCATTCTTCATTCAAAAACTGTCAATGAATTTAAATTAATGTATTATAATACATAAAAATTTGAGGATTATTATTAGGGGGGGGGGTTAAAGGTCATAAACTTTATATCCATAAATTATTAACCATTTTTTAAAAACAATTTTTGTTTGTTAAACATTGGATTGTAATGTAAGAGATCATTTCCTCTATAAAAGCGTACACACTTTTTTTGCTCACAACTTCATACACAAACCAGTGAGTTGAATTAATGAAAAACACTTGCGGTTTACAGAAGGAAAAGATAACACTTGTTACACCACAGTCGGTGTCCCCCCCCCCCCACGGCCCTGGCAGTGTTATGTTTAACATACAATTCCGTTATCTTGACGCATATTTGGTTTAATCATTTCAAACAAAACCTTAACAGCGTGAGCCTCCACCTACAAAGTTGTGTGTAACACTTGTTACACCACAGTCGGTGCCCCCCCCCCCCCACGGCCCTGGCAGTGTTATGTTTAACATACAATTCCGTTATCTTGACGCATATTTGGTTTAATCATTTCATACAAGACCTTAACAGCGTGAGCCTCCAACTACAAAGATGTGTGTGTCATTCAGAGGCGTAGCGTGGTGGGGGCAGGGGGGACAGATGTCCACGGGCGCCAGCTAGTTAGGGGCGCCAAAATGCGCTTTGATATTATTTTATTGATGAAAATAATGGGTTTGAGAGTTGAAAAAAAAAAGGGGTGCTAAAAATGGATCTTGACCCCGGGCGCCAAAAACCCTCGCTACGCCACTGGTTGTATGTACACTATTAATAAACATCTCTGAATCTGAATCATCCAATTGGCACATATTTAACTGGTATATTTGTTTGGAGTTGTAATGTAGACTGTGATGTTACTGCAGGTATAACGAAGTCACCCCAACAATAATGGTTCCACACAAAGATATAACAGAATCACCCCAACAATAATGGCTCCACACCCATCTATAACAGAATCACCCCAGCAATAATGGCTCCACACCCAGCTATAACAGAATCACCCCAGCAATAATGGCTCCACACCCAGCTATAACAGAATCACCCCAGCAATAATGGCTCCACACCCAGCTATAACAGAATCACCCCAACAATAATGGTTCCACACCCAGCTATAACAGAATCACCCCAGCAAAAATGGTTCCACACCCAGCTATAACAGAATCACCCCAGCAACAATGGCTCCACACCCAGCTATAACTGAATCACCCCAGCAATAATGGCTCCACACCCAGCTATAACAAAATCACCCTGCTCATAACAGCCCTCTCCCCACCAAAAAATAACAACAACAACAACCAACAACAAACAGTTATAACATCTCACCAACGCTATAACATCTCACCAAACCTATAACATCTCACCAAAGCTAAAACATCTAACCAAAGCTATAACATCTCACCAAAGCTATAACATCTCACCAAAGCTAAAACATCTCACCAAAGCTATAACATCTCACCAAAGCTATAACATATCACCAACGCTATAACATCTCACCAAAGCTATAACATCTCACCAAAGCTAAAACATCTCACCAAAGCTATAACATCTCACCAACGCTATAACATCTCACCAACGCTATAACATCTCACCAACGCTATAACATCTCACCAAAGCTATAACATCTCACCAAAGCTATAACATCTCACCAAAGCTATAACATCTCACCAAAGCTATAACATCTCACCAAAGCTAAAACATCTCACCAAAGCTATAACATCTCACCAAAGCTATAACATCTTACTAAAGCTATAATATCTCACCAAAGCTATAACATCTCACCAAAGCTATAAAATATCACCAAAGCTAAAACATCTCACCAAAGCTATAACATCTCACCAAAGCTATGACATCTCACCAAAGCTATAACATCTCACCAAAGCTATAACATCTCACCAAAGCTAAAACATCTCATCAAAGCTATAACATCTCAATAAAGCTATAAAATCTCACCAAAGCTAAAACATCTCACCAAAGCTAAAACATCTCACCAAAGCTATAACATCTTACTAAAGCTATAATATCTCACCAAAGCTATAACATCTCACCAAAGCTATAAAATCTCACCAAAGTTAAAAATCTCACCAAAGCTATAAATCTCACCAAAGCTAAAACATCTCACCAAAGCTATAATATCTCGCCAAAGCTATAACATCTCACCAAAGCTGTAACATCTCATCAAAGCTATAACATGACACCAAACCTATAACATCTCAACAAAAACATTACATCTCACCAAATATATAACATCTCAACAAACCTATAACATCTCAACAGACCTATAACATCTCAACAAACCTATAACATCTCACCAAAGCTATAAAATCTCACCAAAGCTATAACAAACACAAGCTATAAAAGACCCACTGTCCTGCTATAAATATCACAATCCCAGCTATAGCAGAAACACCTTAGTGATAACAGCCCCACCCCGACAATAACAGCCCCATGTTATGATAGCCCCCCCCCCACCCTCAGTATAACACCACCTGCTATTTTAGTCTCACCACAGCTATAGCAGTAACCGCTTACCCTGGTTAAAAAGACCCCCTGTCCTGCTATAAATATCACAATCCCCGCCATAGCAGAAACCCCTTAGTGATAACAGCCCCCCCCCGACAATAACAGCCCCATGTTATGATAGCCCCCCCCCCCCACCCTCAGTATAACACCACCTGCTATTTTAGTCTCACCACAGCTATAGCAGTAACCGCTTACCCTGGTTATAACAGTCTCTCCTCAGCTATAACAGTCCCTCCCCAGCTATAACAGTCCCACCCCAGCTGTAACAGTCCCTCCCAAGCTGTAACAGTCCCTCTCCAGCTGTAACAGTCCCTCCCCAGCTATAACTACGCCACCCCAGTTATAAAAGTCTTACACCAGCTTTAACAGCCCCACCTCATCTGTAACAGTCGCTCCCCAGCTATAACTGCCCCACCCCAGCTTTAACAGCCCCACCCCAGCTGTAACAGTCGCTCCCCAGCTATAACAGCCCCAGCATTAACAGTCCCACCCCTACTGTAACAGTCACTCCCCAGCTATAATTGCCCCACCCCAGCTATGACTGCCCCACCTCAGCTATAACAGACGCAATTCCAAAACTGAATGCTCTCCATCATATTTATTATATTTAGCCATTACTTTACACCATGTCACGCACTGTTTTACACCATGTCACGCACTGTTTTACACCATGTCACGCACTGTTTTACACCATGTCACGCAACTGTTTTACACCATGTCACGCAACTGTTTTACACCATGTCACGCAACTGTTTTACACCATGTCACGCAACTGTTTTACACCATGTCACGCAACTGTTTTACACTATGTCACGCACTGTTTTACACCATATCACGCAACTGTTTTACACCATGTCACGCAACTGTTTTACACCATGTCACGCAACTGTTTTACACCATGTCACGCACTGTTTTACACCATGTCACGCAACTGTTTTACACCATGTCACGCAACTGTTTTACACCATGTCACGCACTGTTTTACACCATGTCACGCACTGTTTTACACCATGTCACGCACTGTTTTACACCATGTCACTCACTGTTTTACACCATGTCACTCACTGTTTTACACCACGCTGCGCATTTCTTTGCCTCAGGCCAGGCAATCTAACCAGATGTAACACCCAAAGGTTCCGGCAACTATAAAAATTAAAGTTCTTGGTTTCAAGGGTTGCCTGAGATCGTCCCGCCAACCGAAACAGGCTCGGTTATAAATCATCTGAAACAATTCATTACTTAAAAGAAGTCGCTGTGTGTGTTTGTGGGGTCGATAAACAGTTGATTAAAGAAGTTGCTGTGTGTTTGTGGGGCATATAAACAGTTGTATCAAACAACTTCTATTCAAGTTGACATTTGAGAATGTAGGAGACGCATGCCAAATATTAGTTAAGGATACTGACGCGATGATGCAACCGTAGGACTAAGGCAGTGTTTCCCAAACTTTTGACATCTGTGTACCCCTGTCTACAATTTTCGTAACACTGAGTACCCCTTGTTAAAAAAAAAATGCAAACACTTAAATAACAATATTTTTTTTCCTTTGCAGCGCGTAGCCCCCCCCCTCCCACCCCCAACAAACTCTTCCTGTAACCCCATGGGTACGCGTACTACACTCTGGGACACACTGGACTGATACAAGGGAGACACGTACAAAGTGAAGCAAACAACAGGGGGCATAAGTTCACAGGCCGCGACGCCTGATTAGCCAGCGTAACGCACCTTGCAGAGAACCGATTAATTCAGAAATGCCCCCGGGGAATAGATGAAAGCAGGTGTTCTAAAATTGGACACGGCGTGTGACAAGAATACCCCATCACGAAAATGCTGGGGAGTTATTAGCATTGCTTAGAAAATATGTTTGACTATCGCACCCCATCCTGTTATCTTAGGGAAGCATGCCAATGGCCCATGCCACGCGACGATATGGCCGACACAGGGAGACGTCTTTGGTTCAGTAACGGTGGTCGTTTTGCCAAGGTTGGAGGTCTGCAACATTTATAGAAACTTCAATGCTAGAAGTTTTTTATGATTGGTCTCATGGTATGGGTCAGAGACTGTCTTTGAATGTTGATCTAATTCTAAGTGTCCACGTCTGTCTTTAAATACTGATCAAATTCTAAGTGTCCAGATCTGTCCATGAATATTGATCTAATTGTATGTGTCCAAGACTTTCTATGAATATTAATCTAATTGTATGGTTCCAGTTCTGTCTATCAAAATTTATCTATAAGTAAGTGTCCAGGTCCGTCTATGAAAATTGCTCTAATTGTATATGTCCAGGTCTGTCTATGAAAATTGATCTAAAAGTAAGAGCCCAGATCTGTCTATGAAAATTTATCTAATAGTAAGTGCCCAGATCTGTCTATGAATATTAATCTAATTGTATGGTTCCAGGTCTGTCTATGAAATTGATCTAATTGTAAAGGTCCAGGCCTGTCTATGAAAATTTATCTAATTGTAAGTGCCCAGATCTTTCTATGAAAATTGATCTAATAGTAAATGTCCAGGTATGTCTATGAAAATGTATCTAATAGTAAGTGCCCAGATCTGTCTATGAAAATAGATCTAATAGTAAGTGTCCAGGTATGTCTATGAAAATTTATCTAACAGTAAGTGCCCAGATCTGTCTATGAATATTAATCTAATTGTATGGTTCCAGGTCTGTCTATGAAATTGATCTAATTGTAAAGGTCCAGGCCTGTCTATGAAATTGATCTAATAGTAAGTGTCCAGGTATGTCTATGAAAATTTATCTAATGGTAAGTGCCCAGATCTTTCTATGAAAATTTATCTAATAGTAAGTGCCCACATCTTTCTATAAAAATTGATCTGATAGTAAGTGTCCAGATCTGTCTATGAAAATTTATCTATTTGTAAGTATCAAAGTCTGTTCTTACACTCGGGCATTTTACTATTTTGGTAATCTTTAGATTTATAATTAGTTTTGGTTTATATCTGGGATCATGCTCGCCACCTGACTTTGATCCTAGCAATAAATGTTGTTGCTTTTGTATCAATCCTTTGATGTCACTCTTGAGCAACATCCACGTCATCTAGAGTCTAAAATCTTAACATTTGACACACAAATTAATCCTCTGTACAAAATACAACGAACACATTTTAACAAACATCTGAATAACCTGTTATGCAGACGGCCAAAAGAAATGAACATTTTTGTTCAGCGGATTGCATTGTTCACTTGAATTATATCATTGAAGGAAACAAAGTGTTCAATTCACCTGAACACAAAACCCGGGGGAGGGGGGGGGGGGCAAGAATACCAAAAATAAATAAATGTTTAATTTTTTACTTGTTTTTTTTTTTTTTTTTTTAAATCTACGGGGAATAACTCTTAATATATTAATGTGTTTCTATAATGTCCCTTGAATTGAACAGAACCCCCTAAAAACATGGCAGTTGATATATGGAATAATTCCCTCACCTCTTTCCAAAAAATAAACTGTTCATATTGGGCGTCAGACCCCGGCGGCCAAAGAGCAAAGGCTGCTGACCGACCAGTTCCTTGACGTCCCTGGTTTCCACGTGAGCACAGCACAGGCCCACCAGGCCGATGATGACCGCGACGACGACGGAGAGGAGGCTGATCTTCATCTACAGGATGGAGAGACAAAAGCTAAATTAGATTTTTAGAGGCATACTATGAGGTAATGCAACAGTTAGCCAATTAAGATCCGTTAAAGGTTTTTTTTCAGATTAGTTGTTAGCAAATAAGCCAGAAAAATAGTTGAGCAATGATTATGATGAGATAGGAGAACACTTAGGATTAAGTTAGGCTTGAAGTTAATCCCTGTCAAATTAACAAAACCAGACATCAGACTTTTTGTTGTGTTAAAGACCGTTTGACATATAGTTATAAAATATTTGATGGAAATTGGAAGCGATGAATAATAAAACTCAATGTGTGCTGGCATTGTGTGTACTCTTAAACAATGGATAATTGAGTGTGCATATACATGTACGTCCATTAAGGCTTGATTCGTTTGACCCCCCCCCCCCCCCCCCCCCCCCATGAATAATAAAACTCAATGTGTGCTGGCATTGTGTGTACTCTTAAACAATGGATAATTGAGTGTGCATATACATGTACGTCCATTAAGGCTTGATTCGTTTGACCCCCCCTCCCCCCCCCCGGCCCATTTTACTCCATCTCGCTAATGGACGGACGCTGGCTGATAATGATGAAAAATTGTGGGCTGTTAAAGGTGATAACGACACATCTGAAACTCGCTGGGTTTGTGTCGCGGACCACGTGATAGGCGGGAATTATTGAAACCAATTCTAACACAAATAACGTAGGATATTAACTGATCAGTGCAAGGGGGCATAATCGAGGAAATGGCTCACAGGGGATAGATTATCACTCGAGTGATTTCCCTTCATGGGTTGATCCATTACGCCGTCAAGGGTTCTTAAGTTTTTCCAAGAACGACAACTAGTTGACAATTATTCTTTAAATTTTATATAGATTCTTAAACATAAGTAAGAAAATTGTTGAGTAAAAGTTTCTCTTGCGGTCATTTCGAAAAAAAGCAACAGCAAAGAAATGGCGGTCAACATTTGAATAGCTTTATTAACCAGCTAAACTGCTTGTCTTAATTATTGTAAATATCTTCCCGTAAACTGGAGACCCCTAATCATATTATGGAATAATATAACATGTTACTTTCATATAAGGCATTTCCCATTGACAGCATGGGAACCTTGAATCCTCAACCCAGCTGGATAACTTCAACTCAATATAGTTTCAACAAATCTTGGTTTTGTTTAAATTAGAGTTTCTATGTATAACTATTCGTTTCAACTATCATTTTTTTTTTCTCCAAAAATCTACGGAATCAAAATTAAGTTATAATTGATAAATACAATTGATGATTTATGCAGCTTTCTTTGAACTGCCCATATAAATATTTGTCATATGTTAAATATGATTTACCCAGTAGATCCAACTGTGTTTCCTATATATCGTGCGTCATCTTCTTTCGTGCCTTGAAAGATCTGTAACGCATTACTTTATTTTGTGACAGGCTCTATACTTGAAAGTTTGGAGAAGGTACAATCCAGGGGTTGATACATCTCCCAGAATTAGGCTCTCTACTTGAGTCTTAGGGGCGCTGGCACATCTACCAGTATTAGGCCCTATACTTAAGTCTCAGGGGCACTGGTACATCTCCCAGTATTAGGCCCTATACTTAAGTCTCAGGGGCACTGGTACATCTCCCAGTATTAGGGCCTATACTTAAGTCTCAGGGGCGCTGGTTCATCTCCCAGCATTAGGCCCTGTACTTGAAAGTTGCAGGCTTACAATCTAGGCGCAGGTATATCTCCTAATATTAGGCTCAACACTTGAGTCTTTGGAGCAAACAACCCAGGAGTTACACTTAATCACATAATCTTCGTAAATATTTCACCAGTTGTCACAAAACGTGTTCGTATATTTCCCAGTAGTACGCCCTATTTGTTTAGTTTTACGGGCATACGACCAATGATTTTTTGTACATTTTCAGTGCTATGCTCTATACTTGAGTGTACAGCAGCTATGTTGGGTACATTTCTCAGCACTCTGTCCTATACTTAGCCGTGGGCCTTAGGGGGATACAGCCAGGGAGTTGGTCCATTTCCCAGTAGTGGACCCTATACTTGAGTGGTAGGGGCATATACAACCTAGGTGTGAGCATATTTCCCAGTAGTAGATCCTATACTTTTGCGAACTTAATCCATTACCAAAAATATTTCTCTTGAGCACTTGATAACCAATATCATTAAAAAAAAAATTTTTTTTTAAATGCGCAAACAATTTAGTGCGCTGAATCTCCAAGATTACTACATTTCAACAATCGAAGGCGTAGCTGAGGTAGATCTAAGTGTCGCAAGGGAATACACTACTTTTTTTTCGCCCACTTTCCCTGAAATAAAACCTCTGCAGTTGGTTAAAAAATTGTTATGTGGGAAACAATGGCCTCTCTGTGGTACCCGCCTCACCGCCATGGCCTCCCTGTGGTACCCGCCTCACCGCCATGGCCTCCCTGTGGTACCCGCCTCACCGCCATGGCCTCCCTGTGGTACCCGCCTCACCGCCATGGCCTCCCTGTGGTACCCGCCTCACCGCCATGGCCTCCTTGTGGTACCCGCCTCACCGCCATGGCCTCCCTGTGGTACCCGCCTCACCGCCATGGCCTCCCTGTGGTACCCGCCTCACCACCATGGCCTCCCTGTGGTACCCGCCTCACCGCCATGGCCTCTCTGTGGCACCCGCCTCACCGCCCCTGCCAACAGTTTAAAACACACGTGACCGTCTTTGCTCCCACGCTACAATACAAGTTAACAACTGCACACATGAAGCACAGCACCTACGTTCAAACAGTCTCTGGCGTACCATCTCTGTGAAATTTAATGACTGCTTAAGAGACATAGCAAAAAGAAAAAAAAAGAAAAAAAAAGCAAAGCAAAGCAAATACAGTTATTTAAACTTGTAGAACAAAGTGACCACTGTGCTAAAATAGTTTTAAATTGAAGGTTCTAAAAATAAACTTGTAGATTATTTAGCAGACGAAATTTTGTCAGCTGCTTACACGTAAGGGATCTGGACTTGATCTTTAACGAGAATTTTTATTTAATTAAACAAAAGAACCAATGTCCAAACGGCATGACCAAATATATCGACTTTCCTTCTTTGACAGATGCTCTGGCATTCAGATGAGGAAAAAAAACTAAATTTAAAAAAAAAAAAAAAAAAAAAAAAAAAAAAAAAAAAAAAAAAAAAAAAAAAAAAAAAAAAAAAAAAAAAAATATAAAAAAAAAAAAAAAAAAAAAAAAAAAGCCAGCCATGTTTCGTGTCTTAAAACAATTTTGTATCTTAAGTAGCCGTCCATTTTAAAAAGGTCAAAGATGTCAGTGGGAGGGGGGACATTCACCTTGACATTGAGTGTCGTCCTTTGCTTGAATCGGGACAATAGTAATAGCCACACGTTGAGGTTTTCAAGAATAGATTTGCCCTTATTGAGGGTTACAACTAAGGATGCGAATTTAGAACCGGAATAGGAGCCGCATGTTTTGATTTCCTTTTTAAAACATTACGATAATCTTTTAAAAAACAAACTCTATATTTAACAAGAAATGAAATTTGTTTTTATTCATGGCAATTTTATTTTTTTAAAAAAATATTTAAATCTTTTAAATATTACAAAAAAAAATAAAATAAATAAATAAATAAATATAGACCTCAAAATGACAAACATTCAGTGCTAGAGTATACTGACATTCGCTTGTCTGATCGTACCACAATCTGGAAGGGTATAGGCTGAAGTGAAGAACTGGCAGTGTGGCTGTGGCATTTTTACTTTTGGACAGAGGGAATTTCGAAATATGGATTATTTACCGTCTAGGATGAAGTCGGTTGTCAAATTGTCTTTTGCAAAATCGATTTTTTGAATAACGTGCTCAAGTCTCAATCGCAATACTACAGCCTGGTAACCGGTAATAAAATAAGTTCTTCCAACCCAATCTCAAACTGAATGCTCACTGCACGGGGGTCAAGTCTTAGTAACAAAATGTGGTATCAATTTTTATTTCTGGCATCCGTCCGTCAAAATGTGACGATGATGGAGACTTTGCAGGGCGAAATCAAGGCCTGTGAGGATAAGCTGGTTCCCTGGATATCAAATCGCCCCTCTTTCGCGCACCTGGATATCAAATCGCCTCTCTTTCGCGCACCTGGATATCAAATCGCCTATCTTTCGCGCACCTGGATATCAAATCGCCTATCTTTCGCGCACCTGTATATCAAATCGCCTATCTTTCGCGCACCTGGATATCAAATCGCCTATCTTTCGCGCACCTGGATATCAAATCGCCTATCTTTCGCGCACCTGGATATCAAATCGCCTATCTTTCGCGCACCTGGATATCAAATCACCTATCTTTCGCGCACCTGGATATCAAATCGCCTATCTTTCGCGCACCTGGATATCAAATCGCCTCTCTTTCGCGCACCTGGATATCAAATCGCCTATCTTTCGCGCACCTGGATATCAAATCGCCTATCTTTCGCGCACCTGGATATCAAATCGCCTATCTTTCGCGCACCTGGATATCAAATCGCCTATCTTTCGCGCACCTGGATATCAAATCGCCTATCTTTCGCGCACCTGGATATCAAATCGCCTATCTTTCGCGCACCTGGATATCAAATCGCCCCTCTTTCGCGCACCTGGATATCAAATCGCCTCTCTTTCGCGCACCTGGATATCAAATCGCCTATCTTTCGCGCACCTGGATAACCCGCGAGAACATCTTGTCCACGTGGATGTTACGGCTGGGCACTAGCAGCGTCGCATCAGTTGCGGGAATTTTCATTCGGTCAATGTTATTCTTTTACGGGACTCCATCTCCGGTTTGACTTAGTGTTTTTTTCTTCTTTTAGACGAGTTGACATCCGAGACTAACGACTCCAATCCTCCGGAGGGTGCTGTTGATGTTTTTGCTTCTCGAGGCCCTTGTGGGGGATTGAACTCCACACCACAATCATGTCATTGCCTGAGTTTACCACCTATCAAGATCATACAGGGAAGAGTACATCAATGTGCAACGCTCCGCATTTGATTCGAATCAAGTTTATCTCGCTGCGTGGGACAGTCGGAATGTATTATAAAAACAATAACCGGTCAGAGGCGCCGACTTCAGCTTTACGGAAAAGATATTCTAAATCCCCCACATTTTTTAACGACAAATTTTTTGAGCTACTTTTGTTGACACTATGATGCTAAAAAACTATGAATCTGGCCCAACAATTTGGAACACCCTTCCTATCGCTCTCAGAAACAGCCAGACACTGGAGTCTTTCAAAACTGATTTGAAGACTTATCTATTTCGCAAACACCTGCTGGGGTGATGTTGTCTATCTAGCTATTATCTTGTAGATGAATATTGGCCTATGTTGTTTATGGTTGAAAGGTATGAAAGACTTAGAATGGGTAGTATTCTCGTATGTAGTTGTTGTAATGTCGCATTTTGTACTTCATTGTGGTATGTACCGCGCTTCGAGCCTTTGGGATGAAGCGTGTTTTTTCAAATAAACTTTATTATTATTATTGTTATTATTATTTTCTTTTAACAACGTCTCTATGACTCTGTTTGCCATATGACCACGAGCCATGAGTTTACTTTGTAACTGGGTTCTTTTGTCTGCCATTCTCCTTAAGGTTACATTTCTCCACATTTTTATTATAAAGGTTTGAAACAAGAAGGAAGAACACGTGAGCGCCGACATTTCCCGATTTGTTACACTTCAAAAAAAAAACAAAACAACATCAACATGTTTTCACAATGTCTCATTTCATTCCCTTTTTTTTATTTTTTGTACGGACACGTCATTTTAGGGGATATCTGTACGGACTGTCCGTCAATTCTTTCCCCAGCATAGACGGAAACACTTCCATCCACGTCCTGGTGAAGCACTTGCAGACCCTGGCTGACCTTATCTTGCCAAGACGTCCAGATCGGCTTCTGGTGTTAACTGAAGTCATGCCGTTCTCATTCCGCCCCCCCCCCCCCCGGGCCCTTTTTTTTTGTGTGTGTGCAGGAGAAGTGCCGTGAACGGCGAACGTCTTGCTACATTGCTCTCATCAGTTTGACAAGGACATTTGGTCGGACTCGGTCAGCCGGTGGTGTGGTTTGTTTTACGTCTTGGGCACCACTGATTGTCTCACCTCAACAGCTGGCTGCCGTAGTATCGTTGCTGATTAACGTGTACGAGGTGGATCTACATCAGGTATTTATTAGTATTTTATTATTTTTAGTCCGAACGACGGTGTGCAGGCAGCTCTAGATAAAGTGGTGGGGCTGGTCTAGATACAGTGGTGGAGCTGGTCTAGATACAGTGGTGGAGCTGGTCTAGATACAGTGGTGGATCTGGTCTAGTTAAGACAAAATTTAGCCAGAAATGCTCTTAGTGTAATGAAACGTAACTTTCCAACATTTTTTGTTTGTTTTATGGAACGTTTTAAAGCTACAAATAAACTAAAATATCTATAACATATCTATAACGAATTCTATTTTTTTCCAATTATTTTTTAAAGAAAAAAAAACATTTAAAAAAATAAATTAATTAAAAAATCAACCAGCAGCTGATTGTTGAAATCGAAAACGTTAAATATTATGGTACAATGCCACCGCAATAATATAGTTTGTAAATTGTCATTTATCATAGTACTGTCACCGCTTTTTATATTTTTTTAAAAGAATTCATTGCTTCTTTAAAATATCGAGAAATGAGGTAGGTTTGCTATTTAAAATTGATTTTCTGCTGGAGGGTGTGGAGGAACATTGTCACGTGATTAGTCACGTTGTTAGAGATTCATCACTAATAGTAAGCAAACACGGCGTCTGTACTGTCCAAACAACGTCATGGCGGCCAGTTTGGTACGTGAGCTCAGATTTGGGTCAATATTTGATTAATTTATATTCTCATGTTTAATCGCAGTAATTTGGCTGTAAGTTGGTGTGAGAACTACATGGAATAGACGTAGTAATGGGCTGCTAGTTAGTGTAAGAACAACATGTGATAGACGTAGTAATGGGCTGTAAGTTAGTGTAAGAACAACATGTGATAGACGTAGTAATGGGCTGTAAGTTAGTGTAAGAACAACATGTGATAGACGTAGTAACGGGTTGTAAGTTAGTGTAAGAACTTCATGGGATAGACGTAGTAATGGGCTGTAAGTTAGTGTAAGAACTTCATGGGATAGACGTAGTAACGGGTTGTAAGTTAACATAAGATTAACATGGGATAGAGCTCATGGTGGAAGCAACTATGAAGCAGTGATCATGTGTTGTTTTTTTAAAAATATAAACCATACTTTCTGCGAAAATTTCATTCAAATTTGCTCTTGTCAACTTCTAAAGACATCCGAAATACATAACTCAAGTAAACGGGTAATCATAAGCGAGACCTGACCTACTCATGTATATCTTATTCACGATGACCCCCAGACATGCTATCTCATGTTGTCATAAAACAAGACATCGTGTCCCATTTTATATTTACGCATTGAGGTTGTGTGATAAATTTACTCTATCGTCGGACACATGAGATCCAAAAAAAGCCGATTAACATCATAATTGATTTTAAAAACAAAAATTAACTGAGTGTTTGTGTTGAATAAATTTACAGTATCTTGTGTGCTACTTAAAACAAAACAACACAAAAACAAAAAGTTAGAAATTTACTCGAGAGTACACTATTTGGACTATTCTCTTTAATAATTTTAAAACGCCATTAAATATGGATGAGACAACATTTCAATACCTAAAAAATATATATTTTTTTAAATTGCAAAAGAATAATGTAAAATCAGTGGTTCTCAACCTTCCTCATGCCGCGAACATTTAATACAGTTCCTCATGTTGTGGTCACCCCCCCCCCCCCAAACATAAAATTATTATCGTTGCTACTTCATAAATATTTGTTTTCCGATCGTCTTAGGCAACCAAAGGGGAGGGGGCAAGGGGGGGGGCTAGCGACCCAAAGTTTAAGAACCGCTCATTTAAATCAAACCGTGCCATATTTAGAAAAAAATATTTTAAAAAAAATTAATTATTTTAGCCAAAACCAAACATCAAAAATAGGACTCGACATTACAGTCAACAAGCAACATCGGTACTTACGATTTATGTGTGTCGAAAAACTGGTCCCAACAACGTGATCGAAGTCTTCTCGCAAATGTTCAGTAGCTACTTTCTATCTTGTGTTGGGAAGCGAAAATTAAATTTATTTTACCTGAGTTAAACTTGAGTCAAGTAAGATAACTACAAATAATTAATGTTTGCAAGAAAAAGTAGCTTCTGGATGTTGTCAAATATAAAAAAAAAAACTATCTTCTTAGCCCTGAGATCAACTTCTAGCCTTCAGATACGTTTCGAAAGCTCGGTTTCGGTAAAGGACCTAACTCGCCGAGGATCTTGTCTTTTGAAGGAATCCACGCGTAATAAACGGTACACCCACCCGAGGCTCGTGCTCAGCGCGTGACGCAAGACGACGACCATTTGTTGGGCATGCGCAGAGTAACATGAAGCCAACGCAGCCATATTTTAGGAAGCAACGGACGGACTTGTCGATCATAGAGAGTGAAAGGGGGAAAAAAATAATGATGTGAAAGTTTTCATTCGATGTCATGATATGTAACATTAGTTGTAACGAGTGTCATCTGTAACCTCTGCACTGTAGATTATGTGGATATCCCTTATGATAAATACCGTTAAATATGACTTATTTTATGTAAATTGTGATTTAAGGAACAACACATAACCATTTGAATGTTGCTTATGATAATTAACATTACATTTGATCATTTAAATGTCACCTATGATAGTAAACATTACATTTGATTATTTGAAAGGCACATATGACAATAAACATTACATTTGATCATTTGAATGTCACCTATGACAATAAACATTACATTTGATCATTTGAATGTCACCTATGACAATAAACATTACATTTGATCTATTTTTCTCTCTCTTTCACTCACTTTCTCGCCCTCACTCCCTCTTTCTCTCAATTTCCTCTTCCCCTTCTATCTCTCCCCCACTTACTCTCCCACTCTCTTCATCACTGTCTCTCCCTCACATTCTCTCCTTAAATCTCTCTTTATCTCATTATCTCCCTCACTCTCTCTTTCTCTCATTCTCTCTTATTCTATCTCCCTCACAATCTCTCCCTCACTCTCTATTCTCTATTCTCTCTTTAACCAATTTCTCTCCATCACTTTCCCCTTCTCTCACTCTACCTTTCTCTCTCTCTCTCCCTCACCCTATCTTTCTCCGTTCTTTCTCTCTCTCTCTCACCCTCACATGCTCCTCTCATTCGTTCATTGTGGAAAAAAAAATATTTTCAAATAAATAATGACACGCTAAAACAAAACTTGTTGAGACACGGTAACAACATCCCCCCCCCCCCCACACACACACTTTCACCCTTTACATCACTCAATCTTTCTTCTGCTCACTTCCCCTTACTCTCTTACTCTTTTCTCTCTCAAAATTGTCTGTAACCTAATGTCATTTGTTGTCGGAGCTTCCCCCCCCCCCCCC